TTTTTTTTATCTTCAACTTTAGCCTTCTAAAAAAGTTAGGATGGAATAGAATGAAGGCCAAGTGAGATGCCCAGTCACCCAGAGTGGCAAGGTTTTTGTGTTAAAATGAGATTCCTGTGCTTTTCACTAGGGAATGACCTAGTGGACAGAGACTCATTTAAAAAAGAAATAATAAATTAAAATATGCAACACTAAATGCACATGCTTTCCTTGCAAGTATCCTTCCTGTGTGGACAGAGGGTGGCTGCCTGTGGTTCCTGCGGGAGGGCAGGAGCTCAGAAGGTGAGGGTCCTGTGTCAGCCAGCCTCTGCCGCCTCGCTCGTGGGATCTCTTCTAGATTCCTCCTCACAGCCCTGCCAGTCCCCTTTGCTGCTGTCTGTATATTCAGCGGTGTGTTCACGATGTAATACTGAAAGGGAACTTGTAAAAAATAGTTACCAAGTAGGCATGAAGTATATGATGGCTATTTAATTAAAACTTATTACAGTAAAAGGAATATCATCATTAGACTCCTCCCAACACCCCTTGGGGCAGCACAGCGACCCTGGCTTTCTTGACCTTTGTGCAGCAGCTGTGGAAGTCGTCTTCACGAACATTTGTGCTGTCAGGACCACTTCCCTGTCCTGACTCCATTCCCAGTATTTAAATCTGATAGGAATTTTGACTTTGGGGAAGAGTCAGAAGTCATGTAGTCTCAGATTAGATGAAAAAGGTGGCTGCGGACACACCATCCCACAAGGTTACTTGCTGGCTTTTCCACCAGATGTCACACTGGGCAGCAGCACTTTCTTTATTCTTATCGCCCTGAAGGGCACTCCAGGTCTCCTGCAAGTGGTGGTAAGAACACCAGGGTGAGAGCATGTTCAAAGTGAGGCAAAGTATTTAAAGGGATTAATGGCAATTTATCTTTTACTACAATAAATTATTTTAAACATTTTCCATATGTTTTGGCCACATAAGAAATAACACTGAGGGCCAGCCAAATAGCTCAGCAGATTAAAGCTCCTGCAAGCATGTACAGGGGCAGGGGATTCGATCCCCCAGGCCTGCTGTGCGGGCCCCACCCCCGGGGCACGCTGAGACAGCAATTGAGACTGAGCCTGGTGATTCACGCCTGTAATCCCAGCTCTTGGCAAGAGAGAGTGGGGAATCTCAAGAGCTAACATTGCCTCCTACCAGTAGATGAATAGAGGAGAAAGGAAACTGAAGCAGGTCAGGCCTGATAGCGTCTCTAGAGTGTAGAGAAAGATTAGAGTTTGTCTGTCCCAGTGAAACCTGTCCTCCAAGTCTAAGAATGGTAACCGATCTTGCATCTTTTAACTGGTGGATGGAGTCACATATTTTATTATATAGGCATGTATATTTTCTAAGTATGAGCTAGAATTTATAAAAAGACCATTTTACAGAAAAGCCCATCAGGGATTCTCTGATATTGTGTTTTTCTAGTTCTGCTGCCTAAGATAATAAACTACAGCCACTAAATAAGTCAAATGAGGAACATTTGTAAGTTCAGCAATGAAGTCCAAATGCAATATATACAGAATGGGAATTAAAAAATGTCCCATTTAGAGAAGAAATATTTGTACTAATCGTGTTTGAACAGGATATCATGTCTGCATCTTGTACTATGAATAACCATTACAAAGACATCAATATGCAATGTATTAATTATTGAAACTGTCCTAATAATTGGTTTTGAAATTGTCTCATTGCTATTTGTTTCTCAATAAAAATAATAAAGTTCCATTTAAAGAAGAAAAAAAAAGAGGCTATAAACAAGCGGATCACTATGAGTCCGATCTAGTAGTGAGACCCTGAACACCCTGTAGACCCTTCCCTAAAATAAAAAGAAAAAGAAAGGAAATGACACTGAACTGTTGAAAAGCTCTTGGTGGGGTTTTCTTCTCCTAGAGCACAAAACTTTTCAGCACCTTTCCTGCCTTGTCACCAAGCCCATGTGTTCCATTCCTTACCACTCCTCTACTCTGTCTCTGCCATTTTCTCCTGTCTTATTCTCCTCCACTCACTCTTGCTGCATGCGCCTTTATCAACGTGTGTGTTGCCTTTTCCCCAGAGCACAGCATCTGTCCCCCATGTGTCCTGGAGCCAGGGGGAGTTCCCTTCCTTCGCGACAACTGTGCATTGTGAATCCCTTTGTCTCTTCCTTGTAAATCCCTTATTTTCCCACTGCCCTTCCTAATTTATAGCAGGCCCTCATCCTTCACTGGGTGAAACACTGTTGATCATGCCTTTTTCTGCAGAAATACATTTTTCCTGACCTATGATAAATGTTTGTTTATCAGCAGTATGTCTATAATTATTAGAATTTAAACTTTCTTACAGTTA